ACTGAGAAGGACGTGCTGCCGAGCTTCATAAATGAACTACTCAATAATATGAAGGAAATGAAGGGCTGGGAAGCACTTGAGCTGCATATGAAGTCTCATATGTCTGCCTAGTTTTTTAGGCTTTTTGTGCCTTTATGTAAAGCAGTTGATTTTTTTCAGTTTTTCATCACACATTTTCACGTATATTTAGTGTTAATATTGCTGCCTGCTATATGTTAAGTTACTGTTTGCTAAATCAGCACCTTAAGCTTAGCATCTGGTAAATCAGTTAATCTCAAATTTTAATTTTATTAAAAAAAAATTTTTGTCATTCATATTTTGGCCACTGTATGGTACCGTTGGTATTTTTCTCTTCTGTGGGCAGATGGATCACATCTTGAGATTAACAGAAGGAATCCGTGTCCAGACCGTATGTATGTGTGCTGACAGATCAGTCTGTATTCGGTATTTGATAACAGAGGTCTCCCTTGGGCTCGGATCCTTGTTGGCATGTTTTGGCTGCTGTTAATCTTTTGGCCTGGTATTCCCAGAAACCCTTGGGTGAAGATTAATCCAGTGACTTCATTTCAAAAAGATGGTCCACAATGTTTAGTTTAAGATTAGACGTACTGCTCAATTGGGAGAATGAAGCAGAAGACCACGTGCTCCACAGAACAGAAAATAGGCTACAACGCCCACAGACCTGGGCCTCTCAACGATGCCTCTGGTTCCTGTCTGAAATTCTGATTTGTTCCATAAAGCAAAAGAAACCATGTTTGAATGGGGTTGGGATAATGTATAAAATATTTATAATATATATATAGTTTTATTTTAAAAAAATAAATAAAATAGCCAACATTGTGAATACTGCAATTATTTTAAAGATGCTTTATATTTAGCCATTAACTTTACTAAACACTATTCCTTTAGGACAGTTTTGTCTTCAGTCTTTGACTTATTTGCATATGTTTTGTTTCATTATTTTAGAAGGTTATTTTAGTATAAAAGATCAATTAATTATAATGATTTTTTTTTTTTAATTCTAGATGGTACATGATCTAGCCTATATGTCAGTTTAGTTCTGAATGGAATTAAAAAGCTGTTAAGCAGTTTCAGAGAAAAAAATTGTATATATAAATTCACAAAAATTATTTTATATACATAGAAAGCATATTCATTTGTCAAATAACTTCAGATAACTGAAAATTAAATCAAATGTTGTTCCATCATCATTCAGCCTAACAGATATATTTATGTACAAATGAAACAACATATTCTAACCTTTGCTTATTAAAATATATAAAAGAAAAAGTGATCATTCTAAATGGTATTATATTTTAAATGATTAAAAACACCTTGGTGATAAATGGGTAAACTCTAGTGGTTTAAAGGACAGTGGCAAAGACTGGTAAAAATGTAAAATTGCAGTTAATCAGTTTTGGGGACTGCACTGTGATCCTTAAATAGTGTCTTTAATGTTCTTTAATGATTATTGTTATAAATATGCTTGACAAGTTTTTTGGTATATAAAACTATTGTTGCACTGAATGACATTTTAGTGCATGTCTCCTGTAAAATAATGTATGATAGTCATTATTTTTTGCTCAGAAAAATAAAAATAGGAGCTTATAATGTACGGGAAAAAAAACAAAGCTGTATTAAACGTTCATTATTTTGATGCTTGAAAACCCCATTTCACCCAGTCAGTTCAGTCATGAAACTCTAGATGGCGCAGACTGATAGGTCCTTTACATGCAATCACCTACTTCATGGCACAAGCTGATGATTTATATAGTTCAGAGAGCCCTGAAACCCTCCACCTCTCCCAGCTCCACCTGTCTAGATCTGGCAAGGGATTTATGTATGCCTATTCATGCTGCAGCAGCATATCTTACATGCTCACAGCAGCGGGTCTGTACTTGCTTTGCAGCAGCAGCGTAACAAGTCTACTTCACCAAGACCAAATATATTAACGTTGTAATATCTATTAATACGCTAAAATCATTCTAAGAGTTTATAATGAATGTATGTATTGAGTGTTCAGCACTAAAATCCAGTGATTTCTGGCTGCTGCAGTAATGATTTGAGCCGTGAATGATGGTGTGATGACTTTAAGTGTGTGGAAATATGCTTGTTGCTTTTACAGAGCACTATCTTTCATCTTATAAAGAAAACACCCAATTGCAACCTTTTTCCAAACCAGCTGGCTTTCCAAAGGTTGTGCCCTTGAGCAATTACACGGTGATGAACTCCACAGCTGTGCCAGAAATGTCTTTCCCCTGGTTTTAGTATTTAAACCTCATCGGTTGCATGATGGGCCTCATCTCTGGCCGTTGCCCTTTCTTCCTCCTTCACTCCCTTTGTCCCTAATGCTGGCTGGATGATGCATGAGACAGATCTGGAGTGAAAGGTCATGTCCACAGGAGAGAGTGTGAGCTTTAAAGAAGAGTGTGTGTGTTTGAGCAGGAGCGTGTGATGTAATCAGAGCGGCTCTGAGGTGCGGGCAGCTGATGGAGTAATTAATAAGGGTCCATCAGTAACCCCCGGCGACAGGCGCTGCTGTGGCTGAGAGCGAGTGACCCGCTGATGCACTGTCTTTGACTGTGTGAGTGTCATCATTTCTTCCTCAGCGTAATTCATCACCGCCGCAGTCCAGACAACACATTCCCTTTCTAGACCCAACAGTCCCCTACTGAACCGAGCCCTGGAGTCTGACCCATAACCCCACTGGCCTGAAAACAACATCCTCCACTCTACTACTAAAATGAAACATGGCTAATAACCTCTGAAACAACTCTGTTCCTGGAGTCCCCCAACATTGCACATTTTGAATGTGTCCTTTTTCTGAGACACCTGTTTCAGGTCATGGAGTCTCTACTAATGAGCTTGTTGACCTGAATGGGGTGTGTTTGATTAGGGAGAAGTTCAGAATGTGCACCGTTCTCCACTGCTCTGAAACATCCTAAATCCTCGTAATCAAAGCTGGCATCACAATGTTCTTAGATCTTTCACTTTAGACTTTGGATTTGCATTGTTGTGTAGTAAAGTTCAGGTTAGGTGAACCTCTGAATTCATATAGAGAAAAGACCAAGATCAATAAAGAGAAGATCAACAGAGGGTCTACTCTAAATACACAGATTGAGTTTAACATGAAGGAAACTCTAATTTTGGCAGTTTTAGTGTTAATTTAGCATTATTTATATACTAGTAGTATTCATATAATTTTTACAAAATTTATTTAAAAATTGAAGAGTTGTAAATTATACATTTAAATTTGTTGTATATTAGTTTGTTTTTAATTTTAGTTGACGTTTTAGTAATTTTATGTGCTCTGTCAGTTCTTTAAAGTTTCTATTTGCCTTTAATTTATAGTTATTTCAGTTTTTAGTTTTAGTAATTTTAGTAATTTTTAAAGGGGTCATATGATGCGATTTCAATTTTTCCTTTCTCTTTGGAGTGTGACGATATCTGCTTCGTCATGCCTGGAGCTGATCCGTGCTGGTTGCTGAGGAAATACTACAACTTTGCGCTGTTGATCGCCGGATCGGCTTTCACCGTGGACGAAGCGGAGTCCAGCCCGGGGTCGTCATATGTGGTTGCCGCAAGCACGCCGGCCGCCGCTCACTCAAGCCGCCGGCCTCTGCTCACTCTCCCAGGATGCCTCGTTTATAATGGGTTTTCATGTTTTTGAATCATCGCTCCGGCCTGACAGGGCATCATCACAATATGGTAAGGGGCACATTTCCGTCACACGCTTGAGGTATCCGGCCAATCACAACGCACTGGATTGCTTACCAATCAGAGCACACCTCGCTTTTCAGACCGATGAGCTTTGTAAAAATCTACGCGTTTCAGAAAGGCGGGGCATAGAGGAGAAACAATAATGTACAGTATGTGGAAAATAATGTGTTTTTTGAACCTTTAACCGCATAAACACATTTCATTACATCAAATACACCAAATAATGTTCTTTTTAGCAACATCATATGACCCCTTTAAAAGTTTTTAATTTATATATTTATATCTTTATTTCAGCTTATTTCAATTACCAAAATAAATTTTTATCCGTTTTAGTTCACAATAACAGCACTGGGTAGTTTTGCATCACCATAATCGGAGCTCTTGATGCATGGCTTGAATCTGGTATAGGTTTTTAGTTTAACTTTTATTAATTTTGTTAAAAAAAATTTAATTATTATATTCAGCTCAAACTTTTTTTTTTCAGCCAAGGCAACATTGGCAACATTTAATCTTAACTGGGAACCTGATCTCCAGTGTTACCCAAATGCCTCTGTGGCGCCAGCTAATTTCATAAACAAGCAGCTAATGTAAACACTAGCATTTCTTTGAGCCTACAAATTCCACTCAATAACTACAGATTTCAATACATGTACAAATACCTGAGAGAAACTGACTTTTTTGAAATCTTCTCTATACTCTTTAGCTTTCAAAGTTTCCTCAAACTTCCCTTTGAAAGTCTCCATTCTGGTCAGGCTTCCACAAGAGTGGGAGGTAGATTCAATTAATTGAGGCACAAGGTGGTAAACAGGCTAGCAAACACTGCCAATAGTTTCCATGGTGCTTCAGAACAACATTTCAAAGACTCAGTGTGTTTTATAAAATATGAATCATGATTCTGGGGCTTAATTCTGTCCTTGCCAGGGTCCTGGCTCAATTTCCTTCTCTCAGTAGCAATTTGAAGAACCCAAGCTAGACTAATTAATGGGGGAAATACATTTATAGACAAGTACTAAAGAACTGCCCACACCAAAAGCTTCATCTTAAAGTTCACATGACTTGGTTTGCCATAATAAAAATAAAAGTTCTGCCAAGAAGTCTCTGCAGCCCCTGAAGACCACCTCGGAAAATGAATTTTACCCTTATGAGTTAGTGTATCAAATGTCTTTTTTGAATTCTGAGGAGTGTGTGTATGGAACAATGGTGTGTGTGGGCACTGAGTGGCATTTGTGCCCCATCTACACACGCCGTCATTTTCCTTTTCCCTTTTGCTGTCTATTTACCTTTTGCATTGCATTCCACACACGTTCCTGATCAGGCCGCTTGCCTTCAAGGGTGTCCATGGTGTCTGCCATTAGAGCCAGCAGCTGCCAGGAGGAGATAAAGATTATCACAGCTCAGTTCACACAAACGCCATAACTTTTCTAAACACTGCACCTTTAAAGCTAATTAAAAAATCATTTGTTGGCAGCTGATTCTTATAAGTCATCCCTCATATAATGAGGACTTTCTTCTTGTTCCCCTTTGGGTGGTGGAGAGAGGGAGGGGGTGGTCTTGGGTTTTTACAAGGCTGGTGGTTAGAAATTGAAACAATGTGGACAAATTGAGGAACAACACTCGTCCATCACAGGGCACAGCAGATGGGAATGTACATGCTGCACACTGAGAGAGAGAAGGAAGGTGAAGCTAAAGAGTGAAAGAGACACTATGAAACAGAGAAAGAGACAAAAGAGAGAAAGTATATGGGTCAATGACATGGCATTGATTTATCATTTATGAATTAATATTAAATGAATTTAAATATTTTACATCTTTATGGGCAAGTAAAAAAAGACATCTTGAGATTGTAATGAAGAAAATAAAAATCCCATGAAATGACTGGGGAAAAATATCTTGTTATTGAATGATTATTTCAGGCAAATAATAATATGAATATATTTAAAGTATATTCTTTTTGAAAAATTATATGCCTTATCAAAGTCAGTTTGTTGTAGGAATAATAACCTGTATAAATAAGGTTATTATTCCTATAACCTGTAGGTTATAGGAATAATGTGTAAAACCAAACTCAAAACTAAATATATACAATTTTTTTATGTATCAAACAAAAAATGTATATACTTATATATTTATATAACCAATTTATAATATATATATATTAAACATTTGTTGAAAACAATATAAACATTTTTTAAAAAAATACTAAGATTAAGAATGTTCAGACCCATTTTGCTGAAGGACCAGTTATTTAATTTAAATTTTTAAAAAGTGAAGTGGAATAATATTATGAAGGTATTTAAAATACTATTTCTTTTTAAATTGTCCAAAATATCAACGTCAAACCTGTAGGAAGGAAATTATAGAACAGGGTATGACATCACAGAGAAGACATGTTCATTTATACATTTAGCAGATGATTTTGATCCTCTTTTGTAAATTGCTTTGGATCAAAGCAAATTGTCAAAGAGCCAACAATTTTCATAATATACAGTTTCAGGTTTATTAGAAAACTTTTAGCAAGCTAAAAAAAAAAATGCTGAGAAGAAATAGTTTTTTTTTTTTTTAAAGTCTGTAAACCAGTGGTCCTCAACTCTGGACCTCGAGATTCACTTTCCTGCAGATCGAGGATCAAACCTGGATTAAACTTGATTAGGGTTGGAGCTAAACTTTGGAGGAAAGTGGACTTGAGGTCCAGAGTTGAGGACCCCTGCTGTAGACCATCATTAAAATGAAAAAAAAAAAAAAAACTAAATACAGTTAAAATGTCATAATACTTTTAAAAACAACTTTTGCTGAAAATGATGTATGACTTTTTTCAAAAATGTCTAAGATTAATAGGAACACATGTGATTCAAATTGGATGGAAGTGGTTGGTCACGTGCTTTTACTAAGTGCTGTTTAAGTAAGGGTATACTGCCTTTGTGTGCTGTACAGTACCTATAGAAAGTGGAGTCACAACACTTTTTTCACATAATCGCTCTCTACACTCTTATTTCTGTTCATGAATGTAAGTACATAACATTTCCAGAAGCAGCATGTAGCCCTGAATCCATATTCACCAAGATGACAAAAAAAGCTACAGTATATACTTTCAGCTTATTTATAGAGCTTCTGTCAGTGAACAGAGATGTGTGCTTCTCTGTTGTAGATTTCTATTTAAGTACTCATTTAGGTCTTTGTAATTTGTCAGTATAATTCTGGGAAGTGTTGTATGGCGCCCATACAAACATCACGCTAATTGAACGCCCCCTGGCTCTCCATTCATGGCAGATTTGGTCACAATCTGGCATACATCACACTCTATTGATCTGGGCTAATCTCACCAGTGTGGAGCGCTAATCTAGTAAAGAGGCAATTATGGTGCTTCAGCACTGTATGCCAGAATGAGATTTATGCCACCTCCTTCTTCTATTCTTTCTTTTTTCTCGCTCATTTTCTCTCTTCTGTTCTGTCACTTCTATATCTGCACGCACAATAGCAGTTGTCTTCTATGTCGGCGCTAGTTTCTCTTTCAGTCTCATAAATATTCACAGCAGAGCTGTTTTATTGCCGTGCATAATTCAGGCCTTTATTAAAACAAGCTGGCCCGGTTCTGCTCTTGTGGTGTGATGTTACTTGATTGCATCAACCCTCTCTCATAGTAAGACCAAGGAGGTCTATTGCTTGAACTTAGTGATTTTCTCATAGCGCCACAAAAATAGATATTTTATGCCTATTAACAACTCAAAAAAGCATCAGGCTATAGGCTACTGTGAAATGTTAGCGGTACATATGTTGCTTGTAAAACATTTGTAGTCAGACTCAGAATTCATAACTTTTGCCTGCGTTTCGATTCAGTTTCCATTTGCAAGCTCCTAATTCAATTTATTTCTGATTTATTTGCATATATTTTAGTTAGAATGTCCATTTTGCTTATGTAAGAAATGATTCATTAAAAGAAACGACTAATGCGTGCAAGTTGTTCTGTATGTTTTTGATTCACTAAAAAGAACAGACTCACAGCACCTTCCAGCAGTGGCTAACTTGGGTCAGAGCTCAGTGAGAGCAGTTACCATCTGAAACTGCTCTCAGATCAGTGTTAAGTGTGTTTAGGATGGCCCAGAGCTATCAACCGATCTGCATAAGTAGCTCAGCCTGTTCACAGCGAGGGGAACACTTAAACAGCGATAAAAGGAAATAAAGGAATGATCTCTATGTAAATATGCGTTTAGACTAAATTCACTTCAGACTGATCGGAATCCGATAGAGAATGTTTATAATCCTTTGATTTCGTTTCATTCTTGTATTTTTCAGTGCATGCACACTCCAGGGATCACCACCCCGTCTCATTCCAGCTGCCTGCTTCCTCCACCTGTACTCGGAGAGGAAGCTTGGCCCTGTGCAGCGCTTTATCTGCATATTTTAAATGCCTGTTGGAGGAACATTCGTTTGAAGTTGGAGATGAGGAGAATAGCTTTGTTTCCATGTAGCTTTTTTTTCTTTCATCAAATGACATTAAAAAGCACAAGAGAAAAGTAGAAATCTGCATCCAGAAATTTGCTACAGGACTTTCTGCCATGAGAATATACAAACACATGAAACTCTTATCACTTTTTTTTCCATGGAAAACAAAAGGAGTTATTAATAGCAGAACGCCTATGCTGCTTTATTCATTTTAAAAGAATTATACATTGAAGATGTGACGTACACTACAAGTGCATATTGAATGCAACTAAGTGCATTTTTTTTTTACAAGGGCATGGACCACTTTTATGATGCTTTATAATGCTTGTTTTTCATTGATGGAGCTTCTGGTGCCTGTCCCAATTTGCTTTCATTGTATGAAAATAGAATCATGTACGTTTTTAATCTCTCCCTTTGTATTCCATGGACGAGAAACATTATTTAAATAAAGTGAGGGGAGTAGAAGATAAGTAACTGCCTCACCAGCTCTGTGTCAGAAGGACTGATGTCCTGAAGGTAGGGTGCGACCGCCAGCTCAGCCAGTGTGTACTGCAGTACATGCATATGTTCTCTGAACTTATTCAGCTGTCCTAGGACACTAGCATACTGCAGTCGCTCTATGAGTCCAGATCCTTGGGAAAATCCCACCTAGACACACATCAAACGCATGCTCATTTATACACTGCATATAAACGTAGATATAAAGGGACATTTTATAATTATCTGTGCCACTAGTGGCACTAAATGGAATTGCAGTCTGCTTGTTTGAGCAGACCGTCTCAGTCTGGCTCAACCAATGGAGTGAGTTTCGCCACTGTTTTTTTTGCAACAATTCCAGAAAGGAGAGTTTGAAATGTATTTGAAATAGTTTTTTTTTTTTTTTTGCTATTTAATTTGGTGCTTTTAGCAATTACACATTATGGGCCAGATTTACTAAACGGCAAATTAGCGTTAGAGCACAATTCCATAAAAGCGCAGATGGGACAGGAAAATTCTGCAGGTGATTTACTAACAATGCGCGCATTAAAGAACACCGATGCAGCCAAATAATTTCCATAATGACCAGCGCAATCTATCAAGAGCAGCGCAAATTACCGCCTGCTTTAAGACATACTTGTTTTGGGCGTTAAATAGCAGTAATTTGATGAGCGCAAACATTAGTAAATCGTGATGCATGATTTGTTTTAATACTCTCCTCCCATAAATTTTGCGTCTGAAAGGGAACACCTACAAATGCATATTCGATAAAGTCAGGAGCAAAAACAACTGTGTCCACGCCTTTTCAGCGATAATTCTTCACTGCACGTTTTTAGTAAATCCTGACAGTACTATTTTAACGCCAAAAGACCGTTTGCGCTGGCGCAAGTCCAATAGGTGGCGTAAACCACTTTTATGTTGTTTTGTAACCATTCCAAAACATTTCTGACATCTACTGGACTGGAGTGTGAAGTATTTTGGATTTTTTGCTTAATTTAAATACTTTCCACAGAGAACCTGAAACTGAACAAGTTCACCAATCCTTGCGAAAATACATAGTCACTCAAACAATAGCAAGGCAACTCGCACTATTCGCGTTAGGGCTTTAACGCATCTCTCAACACAAATGCCATTGGCTGCTTTGACGTCTACATGAATCCGCCGCAGATAATGTCACAGGAGTGTTTATGGCAACTGAATGTGTTGTTATTGGGTTGTGTGTGTACAAGTGAGTTTCTGTCATGTTTCCTTGATGCCCTGAGTTGCGCTGTATGTAAATGAAGTCATTATAAATTGAAAAAGGGACGCTGACCTTTTCCACAGAGAGTAACAATACAAAGAAGAAGAACAAACACTTTAAAAAAGTGTCAGCATAAGGTGCTTTTGTTTGAAACTGACCGCTCCCAGTGCCAAAGAGTCCCTCAGAGCCGTTTCGCACACGCCGCTGCAGTGCTACAAAAGCTGCACTGCAGCTGCACTGCTGTTCCCTGATGATTCATTATGTCAAATATCTTTTGGCATCTTGTGTTACACGCATTCTTCTGACGCTGAAACTTGACAAAAGGCTACAAAATGTTAGAAGTCAAGTTGAAAAACTGCTATTCTTCGGCTATTTTGTGGTACGCTCAACTCCACCCCCCCCTTCCACGCCTTTTCAGCGATAATTCTTCACTGCACGTTTTTAGTAAATCCTGACAGTACTATTTTAACGCCAAAAGACCGTTTGCGCTGGCGCAAGTCCAATAGGTGGCGTAAACCACTTTTATGTTGTTTTGTAACCATTCCAAAACATTTCTGACATCTACTGGACTGGAGTGTGAAGTATTTTGGATTTTTTGCTTAATTTAAATACTTTCCACAGAGAACCTGAAACTGAACAAGTTCACCAATCCTTGCGAAAATACATAGTCACTCAAACAATAGCAAGGCAACTCGCACTATTCGCGTTAGGGCTTTAACGCATCTCTCAACACAAATGCCATTGGCTGCTTTGACGTCTACATGAATCCGCCGCAGATAATGTCACAGGAGTGTTTATGGCAACTGAATGTGTTGTTATTGGGTTGTGTGTGTACAAGTGAGTTTCTGTCATGTTTCCTTGATGCCCTGAGTTGCGCTGTATGTAAATGAAGTCATTATAAATTGAAAAAGGGACGCTGACCTTTTCCACAGAGAGTAACAATACAAAGAAGAAGAACAAACACTTTAAAAAAGTGTCAGCATAAGGTGCTTTTGTTTGAAACTGACCGCTCCCAGTGCCAAAGAGTCCCTCAGAGCCGTTTCGCACACGCCGCTGCAGTGCTACAAAAGCTGCACTGCAGCTGCACTGCTGTTCCCTGATGATTCATTATGTCAAATATCTTTTGGCATCTTGTGTTACACGCAGTCTTCTGACGCTGAAACTTGACAAAAGGCTACAAAATGTTAGAAGTCAAGTTGAAAAACTGCTATTCTTCGGCTATTTTGTGGTACGCTCAACTCCACCCCCCCCTTCCCAAGGTCGCATCTTAAGCGCTTTCCCCTGTGGACCGTTTTTGGCCTGTCGAGGTCGCTTGTCTAAATGATGCTCCACTCTATGCCTTTCTAGACTCCTTTTATTTCGTGTGAGCTCTGTTACTCTCCAGTGACATTCATCCACTTTATGGTCATTTTTATTACCAACACACATCCCCCAGCATGCATCATTTTTCACCACTACTGTCTCAGTACTTTTGGGCGTTTTTTCATCACGCCGCACTGTTTACTTTCCATAAGCCAAGCAAGGGAGACAGTGAGCTGGTAAGAGAAAAAGAAAGCAAGAATAGAGTGTCTTTGGCTTTTTTATTTTTATTTTTTTATAAATATAATTAATAGTATCTCCTTTCGTTTTTTTTTTTTATATATATATATATATATATAAATTTTGTTATTTTTTATTAGCTATAATATTTTATATTTTTTTTATTGTAATTTTAAAAAAATAAAAATGAACTAAAAGTATATATTAGGGCAATCAATCAGTTACTTTTTTTTTTAAATGTAAGTAATGGATATGCTTTATATATGTTATAATATATAATAAATTATATATATATTCTAAATATACAGAGTTAATTTTCTAATATTTTATAAACCTATATTTTCCTGTTCATACTCTTTATGTTTGGACACGGATGCAGTGGATCTGTCATTACGGAAACTTTGATATATGAAATCCATCCTAAAATGCCCAGGGATAATTTAATATTGATGTACATTACTTAATAATTTATATATTTGTATGATTCTGTGACTCAGCAAAGGAGGGTGTGTGCGGATCCAGTACTGAAATCCGCTGTACTGCTTGACTGCTTGACAGGTTGAGTTCTTCATTCTGAGAATGAATGTGTTGCCACAGATTTCATCACAGTGGAAATGAAATCAACTCTGTGTTTTAATCGAGAGCTGATGGCTGTGCTCGGCTGGAGAATAACTGACTAATGTAATTTAGCGTCGTGTCTGGGCCAATCAAACATTTGCCGTTGCTGCTCTAATTCAATCACCGTCCTCTGAAATAAACGCCCTAAGAGTTCAACCTCCAAATGAAATGAAAACTTCATCTGTGGGCATGTTTGTGTCTCCAGTAGTCCATTGTGAGATTGGATAAAGATTGCAATTATTAGTGGATGTGCCAGGGATACTGACAGCGAGGGCTTGTTAGTCATTGATGGCCCAGCAAGTGTATATAATTAGGAGTGTTGGCTAGAGGAAGCATCACTAGCACTATTGCTCATACTTGGGTAAGTGATTTGAACAAAGTCTTAAGCCAATATGTTAACCTTCCGAATGTAACTCTTTTGCACAGTTTGTGCTGTAGACATGAATGATATATTAAATTGTGTGGATGACTGAACTTTTCTAAATGATCAGATTGACTATTTTTGGAATGACATTATGGTGACTAAACGATGATAGAATTTTAATTTTAATCTCTTTAAATGGGTCCTATTACGCTTTTTTACAAAGTCTTGATTTAGTTTTAGGGGTGTACTAGAACAGGCTCTCATACTAGGTTGTTCGAAGCCGCCTGCGAGCTTCAGTGTAAATATTGCGTCAAAATCAAATCAATTTGAGCGCGATTTAAGCCCGGATGATTGTAACCACTCTAAGTTCGTCTGCCTTGGGAAAGCTAGCGTGTCTCCGACATAGTGATAACACTCGTTGCCTTCTCTAGTGCAGCTCAACCAGGTCTTGTCCCATTCGTGGTTATTTGTGATATCACAAATCCCGGAAAATGTGCGTTGTAGTCCAAACGAGTCGTTCGTTGTAGTTTTTGAAAAGTGATTTCTGTTAAATAAAATATCTCCTTTTGAAGTGTACTAACTTTGTAACTTTGCAGATCTTTTTTATGCTCAAACAGCAACATTACAGACTAACTAAAGTTGAAAAAGTGAAAAAGCATAATAGGACCCCTTTAACAAACAGCATAATACTTATAAACATACTGTTGGACAGTCATTAAGCATCACACAATTTGCAAGAACATATATAAACCCACACTTAGCTTGGTGCACTTAATGAAATCTAGAACTGGCAGGATCTTCTTTCCTTGCATCTCAAACATCATTTCTAGGTCTCTATAGCTGGGAGGCGTGAATGGAGATCTTTGCCCTGTAAAAAAAAGTCAGACCAACAGTGCGTAAATGTTCAGTAAGCCTTACAAATGACTTATTTTATCATTTACAGTAGGGCCCAAACACACTGAAAACCTGGGATTAATGCTAAGAGAAAAACAGAACATTTTAGAAACAAAATAATTGACATGACATTAAAGATTAGATAGATAGATAGATAGATAGATAGATGGATTGATATGTTAGACACCTTAGAACGACAGAGACAGACAGAACTATAGATACAGTTTAGTTTATAGTTGAGTTTTTTAACCTTTTTCTTTTCCAAAGCTGAAAATTGTTTAATAAGGCAAAAAAACAACAATCAAAAACAATTAGTTTGGCAGGTAATGCTGAGAGAAGAACTGGAGGCAGTGGAGGTGTTATGAAGGCTCAGAGGGAGTGAGTTCAAGAGTTTGAACACACTACCACCCATTGAGGAAAGTTGAATTTTCATCAACTAATTATAATATTATGCATGATAGGAGCATCGCTAGTGGGGGAAAAGGTGGGACTGACTCCTGGGGCCATGAGCCACAAAAATCCCCCCTAGCCCCCCCATTGCAGTGATTTCAGGGCCTGAAACCATTCTACTGTCTATGCAGTGCATGTTTGTCTGCAACATTGGTATATCCTAACACTGTTATTCATAGTATACAGTGATGCTGCAGGTAAACACATCTGCAGCATACAGAACAGCCTCTGTGTACTGTACATAATATTATGACGAGTTGAACATGGGAGGCCGATCATGCAGTATCAGTACCTTTGCATAAGAAGTTTGAACAGCATCTTGAGGATGATTGATTCATATAATGACCCATACAGAGACATTACACAAATGCCATAGATTTTCTTCCTCTTTAATAGAGATCATTCACAAATACAGCCCGAACTCTGCCGACCTCTCCTGCTCTACTGTGCAGGCTGGCTACCGGCAGTATATCTGACATCCATGTCATCTTTGCCTCTCTGGCTTTGCACGAACCGAGGTTAATCGAGAAATTTTATGCCATTGATGTCAATACATTGATTGGCCCCTGTAATCTCTTGTCTGCTTAAACAGAACAGAAAAGAGCTGAGTTAATAGGAATTTTTCGTACTTGAAAGACGATGATTGTGTGACCTTGGACGTCAGTCTGTAAATTTGTACATTTAACATATGACACAGCGTTAGCCCTCGATTTCAATTGGACTAATTTCCACGCACTACTAGATAATTCATTTTTTGTTGACCTAACAAAGTCATTGTGGTGAAAAAGTGTGACTAGAATAGAAAAGATCCCTCAGGGATTGTATTAAAACATCTTTGTCATTGTAATGGTTGTGAGGATTGAGAGGTCTATTTGCACTGCGTATTCGACGCCGCAAGCTTTGTGATCCATTTAGCTTGCCTGAGGTTAGCGCATACTCGCTCATCTTCTTTCACAAGAGAGTACACTCCGAGAGCTCCTAACGATGTCACCCAGCAGGTGAATGTGTGATGTCAAAGATGTATTGTGATTATACCATGTCCTGTTCAGCACACTCCGAGTCTGAGAGCCTTCATCTTAACACCATGAACATGCAGTGCTAAAGTCTTCAGTTTGTGTTCTGTGGAATCAGATTATAAACTCCCTTCACCCAATATAGAGCCCACACCAACCTGTGAATGTGGGACACCTCCTGTGGAGAAGTTTATGTAGGAAGTCTCCATCATTTCTCCTTCTGAAGCCAAGGGTGAGGAAGTAACTCTGTGTGGATGAAGGTTGACTCCAGTCTGTTGTCTGGGGCAACAAATGACCTCCACGCGGGTCTAGATAGAGATGAAGAACGGCCATCATTTTTTAAAATCATCTTAAACAGGCAATTATCTATCTATCTGTCTGTCTGTTGTTCTATCCATCGTTCTACAAGTCACATGTCTGGATATCTGTCTGCCTCTAGATAGATAGATGATAGATAGACAGATATATGTTGAACTTAATTTACCACAGTGCTTCACCTGTTTATTTTTTTTAACCCGTGTGCGTCAATTAAAAAAAGTTACACATAGATCCATTGTGGACAAAAATGGCCATGTCAAAAAACTGTCATAAAAATGTGACGCTTGGGAGCACAGAGTTAAGTTTGGTCTCATTTTAAAGAAGACCCATGGAAGATTATTGTTGAAGTAAAAAAAAAAAGTCTAAAAAGTGAAACCAAAAAAAAAGTTCTAGATGTTTATGTTTATGAAAATGATTTATGAACGATGTTTTATATAAAATATACATTTTATGAAACATGTTGAACTCTATACCTGCTAGAAAATCAAAGCCATAAATCTAAACAAGTTGTGTTCCAAATTTGAGGTTGATATCTAAAAAAATGAAATTTCAGTAAGATTTAGTTTGGGCGCAGTACCAAATTTTCCCTATTAGATGCCAGCAAAACTCTGCTGGTGCACACAGTGGTTGGATTTGTGATTTGCAGTAGAGTTTTTCTCTCTCAAATTTTACAAGAACACGCACACACAATTTTTTTTTATGACACACATACAAACCACACTCTGACATCCATACCAACACACCCACACAATTATAGCTTTATTTATACAATTATAGCATTATTTATCCAATTGGCTCTATAAATGCAGAAGCAGAAAACAGGAATTAAGCGAGTATTTGCTTTATAGGGCAATTCTAAAAAATGGCACCATCTGGCAAAAACTAGTAAAAAATTAAATTTTAAAGCCTTGCCAACAGAATGAAAGCCTATTAACAAAAATTGCATCATTTTACAGTTGAATGGCACTGCGATTAAAAATAGCAGTTTTAATGGGTTTCAATTGGGACGTTTTTGTCCATAAGGTCCTGAGAGGAACAATTTTTTTGTACCTAGTGCAAAACAGATTTATTAAAGGAAATGGAAGTGAAATAGTAAAATTCCAATAAAAATACACACCTGTGCCAAAATTTATGCAGTTGGCAATAACACAGGCAAAATGATCAAAAAACATACAAAACTAAAAAGTACAAAAATGTCCAAAAGGTCGCACAAGGGTTAAATATAGTTCGATAAATATTTATTTGTGTCATTCCAAATCAGTTTCCTGTGGGGTATGGCCAGTTGACTTGATTCCAATTCATGACTTGAAAGGCAGCTAAATCTTCAATTCTAAATGTTTCACAACCCTGCTCAGAAACCATTTGGAACACCCTAGAAACTGTGGAGCAATGCATTCAAAGCCACTCAGAACATGTTAGCAACAACATAACACAATGCTTGGCAACCACCTACAACACTCTAACATCTTAGTGGTGGTGGGTTTGCATTGGAAGTACCATTCACATTTTGTCAGAAAATGTAAAAGTCTAGTTTTGCATGTCAGGCATATGCAGTTGATGGAAATATAATAAATGCTATGTTTAATGTTTGTTTACATTTGTACATTGAACCATTATGATACTGGATTGGGTGGCCACAGATGAACAGCACTGTACTAGATCACATATACAGAGATTTAATCGATGTTAATTTGATTTAGTTGATGCGATGCTAAAAGTGACATTATGTTCTATTTTGATGCGATCCGTAAATTTCTTTCAAAGAGATTGCATCAACAGATGGCTGAAGGCGGTACATAAAGACAAGGACAGCAACTATTTTTTTCAGAGCCGGTTATGCAAAGTGCTGAAGTGACATGGATGTTGACAACCCTGTGATGAGTGACTGTTCTCCTCTAGGGTACTAAATTTAAATTCAATGTGTCTTTCAGTGTCACACATTTATGTCATGGCGGATTATTTCTCCACAACGGTGAACATTATGCTAATTTAATTTGTTAAAAAAGAGAAGATACATGGTAAAAAAAAAAAAGCCAGCATCCCTGAGGAATGAGAATGTAGACATGGAGCACAGCAGGGGATGGATGACTACTCCATGGAATTTGTGCTGTATAAAACAGATTGCATCATCATCTCTGCTGAAAAGGTTTGTGTTTACAGTTGTCTTTTGTCTATATTTCACAAAACGACTCAGCATTATAGCCTTAAAATAAAATTGTCACTTACACTCATGTTGTTTCAATACTTTATGTCCTTTCTTTCGTACATGGATTTCAAAAAGACACGTTTTTCCAGAATGTTCACACTGCTTCTTAGAAGTCTTTTAATATAGCATGCAAGTTTTTTTTTTTTTTTTTCATTTTTGTAGCTTTACAGTCCCTGCTAACTCTTTACTTTCATTGTTTGCACCATTTATAACATTGACATCAAGGTTAACATCTCATTTTGTGGTCTATGGAAGAAAGAAATCAGTGGCTTGAAAAGAAATGATGGTGAGTAAATGATGACAGAATTTTCTTTTTAACTGGACTATTCCTTACAATATACAGCTTTCATTTTATCCAGGTTTTTGTGGCCTGTTCTGGAGAGTGTCTGTGCTGCGGTGTGAATGCATCATAAGATTGTGTCCTGGGGACAGACACCCTGCTGTGTCAGGATGTTCCGAAATTTTCATGGTGAATCTACGTTTTAACTTTCAATAAAGTGGAATGCTCTCAGACATGTTCTTTCCACTGTGTCTCCGTGAGGCGTCTTTGAATCGTTTGATCCGAGCAGGGGAAAGCATGACATTTGCGTCACTAGTGTGTATCTTTTGAGCATTGCTTTGAAAGAAAAAAAGCCTTCAAATAGCTGTTCTTTTCATAATGAATTAATCCAGAATAAATGCATAATCTGAGATTATGGTTATTTAATACCCATAACCCAGAGATTCTCTTTGGTTGCAATACATAGAAATCTCCTGCGTCTTATTTATTGTCTATTGTATTTATTGTTACCATCTGAATCATTAATTCAGCTGATTCATTCAAAAACACTGATTCTTTTGGAAATTAAACAAGTGAGCGACTTTATGAATTAGCTCATTCATCATTCACTCCCAAGATTTTCTCCAATATACTTCATTTAGGAACAAAACGAGCAACTGCGTTTAGGAGTGAATTACTGAAACCGTTAAAAACTGATTCATTCAGACATGAAACAAGTGATAGGCTTTATGAATTTCATTCAGTTGATTCATTCAAAAATATTGATTCCTGCAGAAACACAGCAAGTGACCGACTTTATGAATAAATCGTTGAATAATTCACTTAAGCGATTAGTTCAAAAACATAATGTGTCAATCATTGAATCACTCATTCAACCTTTTCATTCAAATACACTGATTCATTCTGAAACATACTCTATAATTCGTTTGAAAACAAAAACGCTAATTCTGACTGTCGCATACACATTTTGACCAATTCCCTTCTCTCTCTAGCAATAACTCAAACACACATGTGCTTTACATGCCTTACAATGCAATGACCTCAGCTGACAGTCGCTGTAAGGCTACATTAATTTACACATGAAATTAACAACTCATCTCACCAAACACACATACAATCAACCAGAGGTATAATCATGCATTGAGTAGTACTGTGTAAATGGTTGTTTAAATTGCTGCAAAGTGTGTAATTTGAAGTAATTCAGGTCTAAGGTCAGGATTTCGATAACATATACAAACTTAGTGCTGGATTATATATTTGTGCATAATGGGGGTGTGTAAAAACGGAGCAGGCTAATTGAAACATGAATGTGTGCTCTTGACCTGCCTGTGTGAGAGGCCCAGGCCTCAATGTTTGAACAACAAAGAGAGCTACCTTACATCTCTGCATGACACAAGCTGCACTAATTCACGACCTGTTGCTAGGGCAACACCTGCCTTAGACAAAGCTGAACCTATTAGTAACCTAATGCCTGTGAACCTAAAAGCTTCCTATTTGAGTGCTTCATTGTGGGAGGTCTTTCTCTTTTTTCACTATTAAATAAGCAGATGCTGAATGTGGAGTGTCTTGATTTCCTCATACCAGTAAAGATGTAGTCTGTGAAGGCTGGATGAAGCTTCCGGAAGGCCTCCTCCATTTTCTCTATGATGTTTGAGGATGGTTTTCCAGACCAGGGAGTGAACATGACTGAGAAATTCTTCTCCATAGTAAGCGCTGCCTCCAGGAGCCCCTGTGTGGAAGGGAAATAGAGAAAGGGATTTGTTTTTAATACACTTATTTCATTTACATATAATCAGATCATAAATGCTTAGGAGTTACTGAAATGCACAATGTGATTTTATTATTATATTTCCTGATTATAATTTAGCTTTTATATTTTTCTCTGGCACTTCTGTTAGATTGGCATGTGGTTCTGATCATTTCAAAGTAAAATATAATTATACTTTTAAAACATAGACGTGATTAAATCAGGGGTGTGTCAGATCTTATTCAGAGTTATGATTTATTTCTTATTCAAGCCGTTGGTGTGTGACTGTTTGAGGTAATCAGCCACCTCCTGTCAGAATATAATACGACTAAAATAATAAAGTATTACTATTAGGGATGCACCGATACCGATACTGGTATCGGTATCGGGCCCGATACTGGCCTCCTGTACTCTTACTCGTACTCGTTAAAATGCCCCGATACCAAACGCCGATACCACACAGCATGTGATAAGCGCCATATTCAAACAAAGAAACACTGACAACAGACAGCAGAAAGGAGTTATGGATGTCTACTACGAAGTATATGTATGCAATGAATATAACGTTAAACATTCAGTATTAACGCCTGTATAGCTGAAGTGCGCGAGCTGAT